AAAAAAAAAAAAAAAAAGCTCAATGATTATGTTAGGTGAGTGCTAAAAAAAAAAAGGAGATTATGTTAGCTGCGAAATTTCATTTTTAAATGATTTCGAGCAACTGTTTATGGTGCTGCAGCCATATATTCCAAGATAGAGGATCCATAACCCTTTCCTAAACCTGCTGCAGAAGCCCCTATTTTATTGGGTATAATATTTGCACTTTTATGTTAGCTATATCGACAGTAATGCAACTAATAATCAGCACATTATTATAATACATATGCTATACTAGGAATTAACTTACACTTGAAAGTCTTACATAAAATTTTTGTTATTTATTTCAAAATTTAGATAATTATTGACCATACTTGAGTTATCATATTTATGCATGAAATTTAAAAATAATTAGTTAAGAATATACATATACACACTAAAAAAATAGCTCAATAATTATGTCAGGTGGGTGGCCAAATATAAGGAGATTATGTTAGCTGTGAAATTTCATCTTTAAAAGATTCGAAGTCTGAAATCCTAAAAATGCAGGAGAGTGGTGGAAAGAATCAATCACGGAGGAATACAACATTGTCGATTCTGGAAGCGACCCGAATGCTTCTGATGCTTACACCATCAATGGGCAGCCGGGCGATCTCTACAACTGCTCTAAATCAGGTCAAATCTTTATAGTTTATCTAATAAGAAAAAATGATATTTCTAATGTGTACTTAAGGTTAAGGCTTAGAATGATAATATTAATTTGTAATTGTAATTGTAAGTTTTTTAATGATTTAATATTTTAAAAGTATAAAAAATTTATTTCATATATTTAATATTCATTTTTATTAATATTTTATATATTTTTAAAATAATAAAAATACATAAAAATCAAAAAAATAAATAATGAGAAATGTTGTTAAATGAACTTATAATAATACACTTTTTCTAAATAATAATACTTTCATTTTTTTTATTACTTCAGGAACATTTAATATCGCAGTTCACAAAGGTTTGACGTATCTTCTACGTATAATCAATGCCGCATTGCAAGACGTGCTCTTCTTCTCCATAGCCGACCATAATCTCACTGTAGTCGCATCTGACGCTAGCTACCTCAAGCCATTCTCGTCAAGCTTCATAGCAATATCTCCTGGCCAAACCATTGATGTGCTTTTGGAAGCTAACCAAAGTCCCAACCACTATTACATGGCTGCCAGAATTTACACTGGCGTTACTGCGGCTGGTAACCCCGACTATACCACCACCACAGCCATCATAAAATATAGCGGGAAATATACTCCATCTTCATCGCCGATACTCCCTTCTCTTCCTTACTACAATGATTCAACATCATTTCTTAACTTTACTAATAGTTTCCGGAGCTTAGCCGATGCAAAATATCCAATTGATGTTCCAACAGTAGTCGACGTAAGCTTGGACTATTTATTTTCAGTGACACTTGAGTTTTCGAGAATAGTGGCTAGCGTCAACAATGTTAGCTTCGTTTATCCACCCATTGATATATTACAAGCTTATTATTACGGCATCAATGGGGTGTATGACACATCATTTCCTGACACTACTCTACAAATACTGAGACATAAGACAAAGGTGAAGGTACTTGACTACAATTCCACGGTGGAGATTGTTCTTCGGACTACCGATGCTGCAGGCAGCTCCCATCCGATACATCTTCATGGATATAGTTTTTATGTCGTGGGATCGGGTACAGGGACTTTCGATAATGAGACAGATCCCTCAACGTATAATTTGATTGATCCTCCTTTCCAAAATACTATTGCTGTTCCTGTACAGGGCTGGACCACCATTAGATTCAAAGCTAATAACCCCGGTATGTATCACATTATTTCTTTTATAAATTCAACTTTCTAGTTCAAACTACACAAAAAAAAAAAAAAAAAATGCAGTTCGAATATGAAATTAGCAGATGATATCATTAATAAATTAAAATAGAAAAAAATTCGTCAAGGATATATTCTAGTAAATTTATAGCTTAAATTGTACTCTTTCTTTATTTTTTAGTATCTATAATCTGCACTAAAAACACATTTTTATTTTTTTATTATTTAAAAATATGTGTTACGTTCATCATTTCTCTAACAACCCTTTTTCTTTCCTTTTCCCAAATAGGGGTGTGGTTTATGCATTGCCATTTTGATCGACATATGGTATGGGGCATGGATACAGTGTTCATAGTCAAGAATGGTAATTCTACAAATGGAAAATTGTCACCACCACCCCCCGATATGCCTCCGTGTTAAGATTGTCTCTGGATATTATCTTGAAGGTTGTCAATTGTTTGCATCTAAGATTACTACTCCCTTGTGAATTTGTCAATGGAGTTAATATTGTATTAAAAAAATTTTATCTCTGACTTGTCAGTATTAATTCTTAGTTTTCTTTATAAGGAAATCTATGTTGAATGTACTAGAAATAAACCTGTAGTTTATATGTCAATGTTACATAAATAATAATCGCAACCGAGTGATTATATTATTGTTGATTAGTCTTTAATATTTTGAGAAAATTAATGAAAAAATAATTTTTAGTAAATTTTTTAATACTTATATAAATAATTTATTTTTGTTAAGATCAAAAAAAAAAAGAAAAAGAAAAAGAAAAACTTAATGTGGTGTATGAGAACTAATCATGGTAGCATGTGACCATTACACCAAAAAAATAAAGAAAATATCAAAAAGAAATCGTTAGGTTTGGGGTACAATTGGAAGGGAATAAAATATTGGGACATTTTATGAAACTGTAGAGATATATGGTATAAAATAGTGTTCACACAAGAAAATAAATAAATGGTTTTAGTATTTTTAAATTTACATCCAAAGGCATAGATACAGCCACGTCGGCCACCCATATTAAGCTCAGGTGATCAACAACACGGCCAACGCCTACCACTTAAACCCAACAAAAAGCCCTGAATTCCCAAATTCCCTTTTCTCCTTCGGGCGCAAAAGCCAGAAACACTAGCTGCCTCCATACAGGGGATGCCATGGTGCAATTGAAATGAATCTAGAGTCTCAGATGGATATAGAAA